TTTCCAAGTTGCGTTTCTCTGCACGGAATGCTGCACCGAACCATCCATTTTCGCTGTCAGATAATGGCTACAGCAGAAGCGGTGGTCATTCATTTGCACACACACACACATCCCTTTGTGTGCCCGAATGCAATTTGTGCAGGTGCTAAAGTTTCCCTGGCCCACCCCCAAAACACAAGCACCACATCACGATTGATTTGCAATGATCGGATGAGTAGACAATCCAATGTTTGAAGCATCGAGTCCCTTTTATCCATTTCATCAATACGGAAAGAAGACAAATCTCACGAGATGTTTACATGTCGTTTAATTTCCTCAATCGCTGACTTAAAACGAACAGGCACACCTATATAGCACGTGGGATTAATCAATTCTAGTGAAAGAACGTGTAGAAGTGTGCAAAGATTACTAAATAGGAGGCCAACTTCACGGTGATGTAATCGAATAAGCAGTGCCTCACTAATTGCCAAAAGTTTAGCATTGCGATTATGTCATACTGGTTTGAAGGACGCAACAAATATGTGATCTTGGTGAATCCGATTTCCGGTCTCATGATGTCATTGTTTCTATTGTATTCTGTGATTTTATTTTAGTTTCCCAAGACAATTTTATTCCCAAGTAGTGATATATATTGCAATGTATTGGCATGAATACGAATATCTGAAAACGAGCTTGTTTGCCACTCTATCATTCTGTTTGAAATGTCTTCCTAGTATTAAGGGTCACTACAATTGGGAAAGTTTCTGTCTTTGATTGATTCCATCTTTGACTCTTCAAAATTTCATTGTTTCGGGATTTCGTCGGATAAGGAAGCGAATCAAAGTCAAACAAATCCCCAGTCAGATTTGTAAAAAAATGGTAATCAGAATGACAAAAGTTTCTCCCGTGCATAGACATTTGGTCGGTGGTGGCCCGCAAGGTAACGTCACCAAATTATCACCCCCGGAGGACGAGTGTTCGAATCCCACCACCAACGCCTGACTTTTCCTATTTGTGTGTTGAAGCGCAGCCCTTTGATTTGTCGCTCCCCCCCTTCCTGAAAATTTTGTCAACGCGTGCATTCAATAAAAAAGGAAGTAAAAATGAAAAGGAAAAGATCTCGGAGGTTTTTCATTGGGTGAATCAAAGTCGCTTAGAATCAGAAGATCAAACTTTAAGCAAAACGATCGAATTGATGTATTTTAGAACTTCAATGACCTGGGGGTGAGGATCGATACGAGTGGTAGAGCCTCGTCATTTCTGCTCCGATATTCCCCCCAAAACTCGAGCAATCCTTCGAATACAACGGTGGTCGAACCCAGCATCTTCTGAGAGAAGAATCTTGTTCCCTGGGCTGAGTTCAACTCCACCGTTTGCTAGACCGGACAGTGTATTCTGCAAAACATATTCTATGAGAAAGCAACGGGGACATAGAGCATCCTTGTCGCATTCCACTAGAAATGATAAAGGGTGGCGAAAGTTGGCCATACGCTTAATCCGATAGTGGTTTCAGTCTTTTTGGGGTGACGTTTACAGGACGACATCCCAGGTTGTTGCTCAGTGCGGTGCATGGAGTACCTTATCCGGTTTGTCACCTAAGATCACTCCATGCCTCACTCTAGTTTCAAGTACTTACCTGTATCTCGCAGCTCATGACGTGTTGATGGAAATGAAGCAAAGAAAAGCAAAGCGCTTAGGACTTATGTTCTAAGAGTAACCTCCCCAAATTTTTATCTCTCAATCACTGCAATACGTTTTCTCTGTTTTCTTCGCTGCTTACCTAACTCTCCACCTACTGGCCTCCACTGATGCACAGGCTGCGAAAAGCGGGATAAGCAGACAAAATGCTGCCAAGCTGCAAGCCAAAGAAGAAGAGGAATTGGCCAAAGGTGAGTCAACTCCATTAGATTTGAAGTTTTCTGTTTTCCATATTTGGGTTACATGTACATAGAACTTACGTGTTTGTGAACAAGTGTAGTCTGTTGAATATAAGTTACTTCATTTGAATGAGCTGTCGTTAACAGGCCAACGACGAACCGGTTAAAACTGTGTTTCACTAGGTAAAATCACCGAGATAGAGGCAGAGAATATGTGAACGAATTTCACCGCGTTCAGAATAGCCAGCATACATGATTGTCAATAAACTAGGACATGATAAGAATCGCCTCTCGTGTTCTGTTTGAGATGAATTCACGTGATGGGTTCTGTCACCGTATTCGGGACACTATCTCAGGCGTATTGATTAGATCATGCTCGTACCTCACCTCATCTTATTCTTGGGATTCAATTTGTTGGTGAATCAATCTATCCGTTGTAGTCCCAATGGAGAGAACACACACAAGGTATGCAATGTGTGAGTGTTCAGAGTGACTGACTATTCTCACGGTTTCCCATTCTCATCCAAAAGAGGGCAGATTTACAACGAACCTTGTGAATGTGATTGTGTTAGCCGAGACCATCGGTCTACTCTAGAAGTGTCCTACGCGGAACGCTATATCCGCGGGCTCGCGTGAATATGGTCAGTGGAACCAGTTAGATTGCATTCGGGCCACCCAGTCAATCCGTTTCCTTCACCCATCCTAATTTATCGTAGGCGCCGAAAAGTGATGTTTTCTTCTGTGTAACCAAACCATTACCCTTTAAGCTATCGGTAAGCATAATTTAAAAACCTAAACTGCTGAGCGATTTGAACTCAACGAGAATGACTTCCTCATCCTCTGCTTTTGTGAAATCATTCTCGTCATCGTATCTGGATGGATATTAGCGTCAAACTATGTTATTTTTGATGAGATTAAAGCTGATATACTTTTGAACATGTTCATTCGATGGTAGATATCAGTGAATCGAAAGCAACTGGGCTCTAAGTACACATTTAGTCATCTACATCGTATTATATATATATATATAATATATATATATATATATAATATATATATATATATATATATATATATA